TAAGAGTACTGTCACTGTCAGACTGTAGTAAGAGTACTGTTACTGTCAGACTGTAGTAAGAGTACTGTTACTGTCAGACTGTAGTAAGAGTACTGTTACTTTCAGACTGTAGAAAGAGTACTGTTACTGTCAGACTGTAGTAAGAGTACTGTCACGGTCTGACTATAGTAAGAGTACTGTTACTGTCAGACTGTAGAAGGAGTACTGTTACTGTCAGACTGTAGAAAGAGTACTGTTACTGTCAGACTGTAGAAGGGGTACTGTTACTGTCAGACTGTAGAAGGAGTGCTGTCACTGTCAGACTGTAGTAAGAGTACTGTTACTGTCAGACTGTAGAAGGAGTACTGTTACTGTCAGACTGTAGAAAGAGTACTGTTACTGTCAGACTGTAGAAGGAGTACTGTCACTGTCAGACTGTAGAAAGAGTACTGTTACTGTCAGACTGTAGTAAGAGTACTGTCACTGTCAGACTGTAGAAGGAGTACTGTTACTGTCAGACTGTCAGACTGTAGAAGGAGTGCTGTTACTGTCAGACTGTAGAAGGAGTACTGTTACTGTCAGACTGTAGAAGGAGTACTGTTACTGTCAGACTGTAGAAGGAGTACTGTTACTGTCAGACTGTAGAAGGAGTACTGTTACTGTCAGACTGTCAGACTGTAGAAGGAGTACTGTTACTGTCAGACTGTAGAAGGAGTACTGTTACTGTCAGACTGTAGAAGGAGTACTGTCACTGTCAGACTGTAGAAAGAGTACTGTTACTGTCAGACTGTAGTAAGAGTACTGTCACTGTCAGACTGTAGAAGGAGTACTGTTACTGTCAGACTGTCAGACTGTAGAAGGAGTGCTGTTACTGTCAGACTGTAGAAGGAGTACTGTTACTGTCAGACTGTCAGACTGTAGAAGGAGTGCTGTTACTGTCAGACTGTAGAAGGAGTACTGTTACTGTCAGACTGTAGAAGGAATACTGTTACTGTCAGACTGTCAGACTGTAGAAGGAGTACTGTTACTGTCAGACTGTCAGACTGTAGAAGGAGTACTGTTACTGTCAGACTGTAGAAGGAGTACTGTTACTGCCTCAAGTCCATGTTTCTTTTTTCCTTCGATTTTTATCTTTTGCAAAGAGAGAAAAGTTTGAGGCTTTTAAATTATAGATGAAACCTGCAGCAGTGAGCTCCGTCTGAATTCAATATTTACTCTGAACCAGGTCTGAACCAGGTCTGGACCAGGACTGAACCAGGCCTGAACCAGGTCTGGACCAGGACTGAACTAGGTCTGAACCAGGTCTGGACCAGGTCTATATAGGTCTGAACCAGGTCTAAACCAGGTCTGAACCAGGTCTAAACTAGGTCTGAACCAGGTCTAAACTAGGTCTGAACCAGGTCTAAACTAGGTCTGAACCAGGTCTGGACCAGGTCTGGACCAGGTCTGGACCAGGTCTGAAGCAGGTCCGGACCAGGTCTGAACCAGGTCTGAACCAGGTCTGAATCAAGTCTGAATCAGGTCCAACAGAAAAGATAAGTACCTTTCTTCTGTCTGAAATATACTGAATAAACACCCACATATACTGTAGGATCGCTCCTCAGAGTCCCAGCAGGAGGCCAGTCCCTGTGCTCCTCAGAGTCCCAGCAGGAGGCCAGTCCCTGTGCTCCTCAGAGTCCCAGCAGGAGACCAGTCCCTGTGCTCCTCAGAGTCCCAGCAGGAGGCCAGTCCCTGTGCTCCTCAGAGTCCCAGCAGGAGGCCAGTCCCTGTGCTCCTCAAAGTCCCAGCAGGAGGCCAGTCCCTGTGCTCCTCAAAGTCCCAGCAGGAGGCCAGTCCCTGTGCTCCTCAGAGTCCCAGCAGGAGGCCAGTCCCTGTGCTCCTCAGAGTCCCAGCAGGAGGCCGGTCCCTGTGCTCCTCAGAGTCCCAGCAGGAGGCCAGTCCCTGTGCTCCTCAAAGTCCCAGCAGGAGGCCAGTCCCTGTGCTCCTCAGAGTCCCAGCAGGAGGCCAGTCCCTGTGCTCCTCAGAGTCCCAGCGGGAGGTCGGTCCCTCTGCTCCTCAGAGTCCCAGTCCCTGTGCAGGAGGCCAGTCCCTGTGCTCCTCAGAGTCCCAGCGGGAGGCCAGTCCCTGTGCTCCTCAAAGTCCCAGCAGGAGGCCAGTCCCTGTGCTCCTCAGAGTCCCAGAAGGAGGCCAGTCCCTGTGCTCCTCAGAGTCCCAGCGGGAGGCCGGTCCCTCTGCTCCTCAGAGTCCCAGTCCCTGTGCAGGAGGCCAGTCCCTGTGCAGGAGGCCAGTCCCTGTGCAGGAGGCCAGTCCCTGTGCTCCTCAGAGTCCCAGTCCCTGTGCAGGAGGCCAGTCCCTGTGCTCCTCAGAGTCCCAGTCCCTGTGCTCCTCAGAGTCCCAGTCCCTGTGCAGGAGGTCAGTCCCTGTGCTCCTCAGAGTCCCAGTCCCTGTGCAGGAGGCCAGTCCCTGTGCTCCTCAGAGTCCCAGTCCCTGTGCTTGCTTCCATAGCGACTTGAGGCTTTGAACAGTTTTACCATCAAAGTCCATCTCAACCGTTTGGTAAAGGTCTGTCTTAATCTTTAAAAACTTGCCGTTCAAAAACATATATATAAACAAATTATTGGTGTTATTAGTGTCCTACATCTTAGAAAATAATAATACAAAAATTAAATATTCCATTGTTTTCTTCAGAGTGCACAAAGCAAGTAAATATATGTTGCCGGCAAATATTCAAAGACTCTTTGCAGAAAGAGATGGAGGTTACAGTCTGAGGGGATTTGGAAAACTCTAAGTAAAGGTTTCTAGGACCACTAGGAGAAAAATGTTTGTTTCTGTTTGTGGAGTTCGAGTTTGGAATGGACTGGGACAACAGCTCAAGCAATGCGCAACAGTGAATCAATTCAAAAAAAATACAGAGAATTTGTGTTATCAAAATATAGAATGTAAGAACAGGGCAATTCTATAAATCGACCCTAATTGACCCATTCTTGTAATTGATTAACAGTGTTGTGTAAATGTATGTATTTATATAAAATATCGTAACTGCTTGTGTTGTTATGAGAGGAGGGGGAGTACATACGTTTACTTCTCACTCCCTTTAAGAGCTTTGTATAATTTTTTTGACATTTGTTATGTATTATTACTAACATGTATTTCTGTAATGCATGAACATATTTAAATGACATTGTAAATATGTAAGCTCGAATAAATCAAATCAAATCAAATCAAGAGTGAACATTAAAGAGTTAAAGGACCAGCGTGAACTAAAATAATACATCATGTTGATTCCACTCAGCTCCATCTGCTGCTGCTGGACTGAAGCTCTGCCCGGCCCCAGCCTCTAATCTGCAGCCGGAGAGAGAGCCGTGGCCCTGGACAGAGGAGCCAAATGTGGTCCAGAGGCCAAAACATGAAATCCCTCTGTTCCAACCCACGCTAACGTTAGCAGCAGCCGGGGTTAGCGCTGACGGGGGTCAAACCTGTTCACATCCAAAACTCCCCCAGGACTCGACCCGTTAGCATGAGGTTTTTGTATTGTTTTGTATTGTGTATTTGGTCGGGACCATAGACTGTAAATACCAGTTTTGCCGTCAATGGACAGTTTCAAAATGGCCATGGGACCGGAAAATGTGAAAAAATGCAATTGTGTATGCTTTAGCTGCACGAGCCCCATTAATTTGGTGAGTGGATTCTGAAGTCCACAGCAACTAAACTAAACTGATCCAAAAAAATATACCTCCATCAGCATCGACAGCATCTGGAACGTAGCTCTCTTGTAGCTACTAAAGACTTGAAGGAAAACAAACAAATATGTCGCCATTTCTACCGTGTCCAAACATTCTATTGACCAGATGCATCGACGTCATCCAGTCACGTGATTTTGCATGAGCTTTCGGCGGAAGTAGTGGAAACTAGCATTAGCATTAGCATTGCAGCGAGAGCAAAATGGACACAACTCCTAAAAGCTGAGACTCCTAAATCGAGTGGTCGATAACGTTATTGGTGAAAGTAGGACATCAGGTCAGGGATCACAAAGAGCGCTGTTTGGAGAAGTTAAAGATCGCCGAACTGGATGTTGACCCGTACCTTCTCCTCACAGTCAGTTTTATCGATTAAATGAAATGTCCAACTTTTCCCAAATTCACCCCACATGGTCTTTACCATTATGTCGTTAACATCTCCTCACACTGGAGCAGGTTGAAATGTACATTTTTCTAGTAGCATTAGCGCATTAGCAATAGTCCACTTTTCGGTGGCTTTTCGGTCTACAGCTAAACATGATACATATTGACGGAGAGGAAAACGCAACTGACGTCTAAGATAAGATAGAGATCCTTTATTCGTGCCCCAGTGGGGAAATTTCAATGTTGCAGCGCACATACAGGACAGTAGTAAGAGACACGTTTGACTATAAATATAAAATTGTTATTGGAAAAAGGGTTCACTGCATATTTGGGAGTTCTTGGATGGCTCCCAGTCCTTTTGGTTGATGCCGCCATCGTGGTCTTCCGTCTTCATCACGAGCATCAGATAAAAAAACACATTTGGCTTATGTCCTGTTAGTACGACCAACCGCACTGCACAATATCACAGTTTTGGCTGTTAATCAGTGAAACAGGTTGTTTTGGTCAAGCTTCCGAAGACTTCTGCCGTCTGTCATGGAGAGTGGGCGTGGCCGGGACGTCACATGCAAGCCTCTATTAGTCCGTCCAAATACTTTACATTTAGAGAGTAAGGGAATGATAAAAGCTTTTTCCCTTTTGAAACCAAATCAAGAGACGTTTATAACAGGGGAAAAAGTGTGATTAATTCTGACTAACTATTGTAAATGTAAGAATCGTTAAACAGCACTGGTGAATTATTTGTGTTCTCTCAGCTCGTGTCTCTCCTGCAGTCCCTGAACGCCTCGTCTGTGTCTTTGGGACAGAACACACAGCGTCCAAACCTCCGGCTCCACGCCCCGCTGAGATGAAGACGGCGCTCTCCGATGATGAATCAATTTCAATTACGTTCTTTGTGATCAATCATATTCTCATTAACGTGGCGGGCGGCGGACGCAGCTGGACGGCGCGATTACGAGTCAGGGCCTGCACCGGGGCGGCAGCTTTATGACCGAGTAAAACATCTTTTATGGCGAACGTGAGGAGCTGAGGCTGCAGGTTCTGAGGCACGAAGAGAGCACAGGACCCTCTCGACTGCACTGGGAAAAATACTGACCGTTAGTGTAAGACAGGGATGTCCAAAGTACGGCCCACGGACCTATTGGGGGCCACCGGGTCATTTTATGTGGTCCTCTGCCAGAAAAGTAGCATTATGTAAGATTTTCATTTCAAGTCATCATTAAAGGGCCCTAATCTGTCCAGAATTAGTTTTCCAGCCCCTTAATCTTGTTATTGTTTTCATTTCGATGTCCCGCCCTCCACCGTTTCACCAATCAGAAAGTCTGTGATCCGGGCGCCAGAACTCACCGCGTGGAGCTAATCTCACTGGTAAAGTACCATGTGGCGCAGAACTAAAAAAGGTCTCGTTATGATTCTCAAATCATTAACGACAAAACAAGGAATAAAACCAGGATTTCTATCTTTGTGAAAAAGGTGTTGGTTATAGATTTGTTGTTGACAAAACTCTTGTCTATTCAGCTGTTATGGTCCCAGCTGGATTCGTCTGCATATCTGGCAACCTGAGTCAGGGAGAGTGGGAGAGGCTGCAGTACCACTTTTGGCCACATGTTTACATCTCCTTTAACGCAGATCATTTTAATGTCGACAGAAAAGGTTTTTTTCTGTTTTATTGAATTCTTTCTCTTTTATTTGCTGGTTTGGAGCTTTATCATAGAAGAACAAAAAGCTTCACCTGCAGAGTATCGTGCACTTGTGAGTCACTTTGTCTGACCTCCAGGACGTCCTCAGACCTCAGATCCTATAAAGAGCAGAGTTTAAGTCCTTCCTGTCGCAGACATCGCTCTAGTAAATGCAGAACAGATTAAAAAACTCTTATCCCTGTCGTTGTAATCCTGGTGTGTTATTATCGTTTCCTTGTGTGTATATGCGCCTACTGCTACACAAGGATTATAACAATACCTTGAACCTTGAACACAAGTTTATTATGTCATTCAGCCAACTTCAGCCAAGTCACTACTGACACACACTATCACGCCATGTAAAGCTCTGAGCCTAAACCCGGGATGTTGACGTTGCAAACATTTGGTTTGAATCGTGAAAACATAACATTTGTGAATCATACGTCATTCCAAAGATCAGAAACAGTTAAACTGTTTTATAATCCAGACCTCTCCTGTCTCAGTTTACATACAGACCTCTGTCTCAGTATACATACAGACCTGTCTCAGTATACATACAGACCTGTCTCAGTATACATACAGACCTCTGTCTCAGTATACATACAGACCTCTGTCTCAGTATACATACAGACCTGTCTCAGTTTACATACAGACCTGTCTCAGTTTACATACAGACCTGTCTCAGTATACATACAGACCTGTCTCAGTATACATACAGACCTGTCTCAGTTTACATACAGACCTGTCTCAGTATACATACAGACCTCTCCTGTCTCAGTATACATACAGACCTGTCTCAGTATACATACAGACCTGTCTCAGTTTACATACAGACCTGTCTCAGTATACATACAGACCTGTCTCAGTATACATACAGACCTGTCTCAGTTTACATACAGACCTGTCTCAGTATACATACAGACCTGTCTCAGTATACATGCAGACCTCTCTAGTCTCAGTATACATACAGACCTGTCTCAGTTTACATACAGACCTCTGTCTCAGTATACATACAGACCTCTGTCTCAGTATACATGCAGACCTCTCTAGTCTCAGTATACATACAGACCTCTGTCTCAGTATACATGCAGACCTCTCTAGTCTCAGTATACATACAGACCTGTCTCAGTTTACATACAGACCTCTGTCTCAGTATACATACAGACCTCTGTCTCAGTATACATACAGACCTCTGTCTCAGTATACATACAGACCTCTGTCTCAGTATACATACAGACCTCTGTCTCAGTATACATACAGACCTCTGTCTCAGTATACATACAGACCTCTGTCTCAGTATACATACAGACCTCTGTCTCAGTATACATACAGACCTCTCTTGTCTCGTTCCCTGGTTCTGAAACAGAACTAAACAACTTTCAGCCTCCTCCAAGTTTTATGGAAATGCAGCTCTCTCAAAGTGAGGACACATTTTTATTCCTTGTCATTCATGTATTTTATACCTGTAGAAGAGGCGTGTCCTTGTCAGCCATTTTGTGTTGACACAATGTTAGGAGCTCCCAGGGGAACCACATCAGAGGAAACACACCCAAGTGACACGACAGTCTTCTTTCTGGTGCAAAATAAATATCCTGTTTTACACCATTTCAATTCAATTCAATGTATTTTTGTATTGTTCTAAATCCCAACAGTAGCTTTCTCAGAGGACTTTACAAAACCGTTGAAATTGGCAACACAGATCAGAGAATCAAACCGTTAAAACCATAAAGTGTAAATACTAACAGACGTAGTGACAGTACGGCGTTCAAACTAATGTGCCACCCCTTTCGCCGTCTATGGGCAGTTTCAAAATGGCACCGGGGGCTGGAAAATGTGAAAAAACGCATCTGTGAATGCGTCAGCTGCAGGAGCCCCATTCATTTTGAGTGCCTTCAAAATTCCACTGCGGCTAAACTAGACCGGTCCAAAACAATTCACCCCCCTCAGCATTGACACACATGTGGAACGGAGCTTTGGGCCAAGAGCCAACTTTTGGACCATCCTGTAAAGACGTTTTCCAGAGGTAAGAAGATGCCATTTGTTAGTATTGAATAATTCTTCTTCTGGGTCCACCCCCACAGGCCCGGGGTGGTATTGCAGCATGTCAGCGCACGTCATTTTGGACATTTTTGAGCCGGGACTCGATCGCACTGTTTAAAACACAACAAAATATGGAACAAATGATATTGGACCATAGGCAGAGCCCACATGGTATTGGACCATAGGGACAGCTCAATGTCCATGAATGTGGATAAATGTCCAAACATGTTGTAGAATGTTAAAGTGTCCTGGATCATCCCCACAGCACTTTTAATGAGTTCTTCTGTCTCACTTTGACACTGGGCCAGACTTCCCCACATCCATTTCCATAGAATCACGCAGGAGACGGCCCTCAACTCTAGCCCTGTTTTATAAATGTAGATGAGCTCAGACCAGAATCTGTGTCTTTCTGTAATAGTGATCAGAGGACCATGTGCAAATGTAACTTGGTTGTAATTAACTAGTATTTGAATAGATTATTACTTGGCCAACTACACTTTTGATTATTGGATTAGTTGTTTAGATCCTAATGGTCAGAGACTATGAGGGTTAGACAAGAGTTTTGTCAACAACAAATCTATAACCAACACCTTTTTCACAAATCCTGGTTTTATTCCTTGTTTTGTCGTTAATGATTTGAGAATCATAACGAGACCTTTTCTGATTTTCTTCCTGTAGACACACAGAGACATTGGTCCAATAGGAGCAGAGACCAATGATGAAAATCAAACAGTTTTGAAATAAGACTAAATGGCTTTGTCCCATTTGCAAATCTTGTTTTAATTCAGTCAGAATATGTTCAGATTAAGACAAAAATCATTCCATCCAAGTGATTATTACCTCATAATTTATCATTTCTTTGCAGTAGGATCCGCTGTCCGTAAATGTTTAGAAATGTCCTTAAGTCTCCTGTAACCCTTAGGACTTCCTCTGGTTCTTCTAGTTTTAAAATGACTGTTTCCATGGAGAAGGTCCCTGTGCTCTGTGTCCCTGTGCTCTGCGTCGCTGTGCTCTGTGTCCCTGTGCTCTGCGTCGCTGTGCTCTGTGTCCCTGTGCTCTGCGTCCCTGTGCTCTGCGTTGCTGTGCTCTGCGTCCCTGTGCTCTGCGTCGCTGTGCTCTGCGTCGCTGTGCTCTGTGTCCCTGTGCTCTGCGTCCCTGTGCTCTGCGTTGCTGTGCTCTGTGTCCCTGTGCTCTCTGTCCCTGTGCTCTCCGTCCCTGTGCTCTCTGTCCATGTGCTCTCTGTACCTGTGCTCTGCGTCCCTGTGCTCTCTGTCCCTGTGCTCTGCGTCCCTATGCTCTGCGTCCCTGTGCTCTGTGTCCCTGTGCTCTGCGTCCCTGTGCTCTGCGTCCCTGTGCTCTCCGTCCCTGTGCTCTATGTCCATGTGCTCTCTGTACCTATGCTCTGCGTCCCTGTGCTCTCTGTTCCTGTGCTCTCTGTCCCTGTGCTCTGCGTCGCTGTGCTCTGTGTCCCTGTGCTCTCTGTCCCTGTGCTCTGCGTCCCTGTGCTCTGTGTCCCTGTGCTCTCCGTCCCTGTGCTCTGCATCCCTGTGCTGTGAGAGAATACACACCTTTATCTGCTCGGCCCTGTGCTCAGGCCAACACAGTCCCTGCCGAGTGTGTGTCCAGTGTGTGTTGTGTGTCTGGTGTGTGTCCAGTGGGTGTCCAGTGTGTGTCCAGTGTGTGTTGTGTGTCCAGTGTGTGTCCAGTGTGTGTCCAGTGTGTTTTCATTGCGTGTCCAGTGTGTTTTCATTGTGTGTCCAGTGTGTGTTGTGTGTTCAGTGTGTGTCCGGTATGTTTTCATTGTGTGTCTGGTGTGTGTATGTGTGTGTTGTGTGTCCAGTGTGTGTTGTGTGTCCAGTGTGGTCATCCATCAGCCCCTTCCCCGCTGGGATACAATCTGGAGCCCAACGGAGCTCGTCATTTGGCCTGCGAGGATCTATTCTTGGAAACCACAGCACAGCACCTTGGTTTGTGGGGATGAAGAGAAGGAGGGAGGGGAGAGAGAGGGAGAGGGAGGGAGGGGAGAGAGAGGGAGGGAGGAGGAAGGGAGGGAGGGGAGAGAGAGGGGGAGGGAGAGAGAGGGAGGGAGAGAGGGGGAGGGAGAGAGAGGGGAAGGGAGAGGGAGGGAAGGAGGGGAGAGAGAGGGGGAGGGAGAGAGAGGGGGGGGAGAGAGAGGGAGGGAGAGAGGGGGAGGGAGAGAGGGAGGGAGAGAGAGGGGGAGGGAGAAGGAGGGAGAGAGAGCGGGAGGGAGAGAGGGAGGGGAGAGAGAGGGGGAAGGAGAGAGGGGCAGAGGGAGGGAGGGAGGGAGGGGAGAGAGAGGGAGGGAGAGGGAGGGAGGGAGGGGGAGAGAGAGAGGGGAGGAGAGAGAGAGGGAGGGAGAGAGGGGGAGGGAGAGAGGGAGGAGGGGAGAGAGAGGGGGGAGGGAGAGAGAGGGGGAGGGAGAGAGAGGGAGGGAGAGAGGGGGAGGGAGAGAGGGAGGGAGAGAGAGGGGGAGGGAGAAGGAGGGAGAGAGGGAGGGGAGAGAGAGGGGGAAGGAGAGAGGGGCAGAGGGAGGGAGGGAGAGAGAGAGGGGGGGAGGGGTAGAGGGGGAAAGGGAGAGAAAGGGAGAAAGAGAGAGGTAGAGAGGGGGGAGAGAGTTGAGATAGAGCCATCATAAGTACAAATAAGGTGTTAGCAGTGGGAAAACTGTTCAGTATCGCGATAATTTGGGCAAACAATGAAATTGATGCAGTAGCAAAGTATCGCGATATTTAATTGAATATTTTTTATTCTGGTCATTTCCATCTGAGGTTTCTATGACTCTATGATATCTGCTGTGACTCTATGATGTCTGCTGTGACTCTATGATATCTGCTGTGACTCTATGGTGTCTGCTGTGACTCTATGATATCTGCTGTGACTCTATGATGTCTGCTGTGACTCTGTGATGTCTGCTGTGACTCTATGATGTCTGTTGTGACTCTATGATGTCTGCTGTGATTCTATGATATCTGCTGTGACTCTATGATGTCTGCTGTGACTCTATGATATCTGATGTGACTCTATATCTGCTGTGACTCTATGATGTCTGCTGTGACTCTATGATATCTGCTGTGACTCTATGATGTCTGCTGTGACTCTATGATATCTGCTGTGACTCTATGATGTCTGCTGTGACTCTATGATGTCTGCTGTGACTCTATGATATCTGCTGTGACTCTATGATATCTGCTGTGATTCTATGATGTTTGCTGTGACTCTATGATGTCTGCTGTGACTCTATGATGTCTGCTGTGATTCTATGATGTTTGCTGTGACTCTATGATGTTTGCTGTGACTCTATGATGTTTGCTGTGACTCTATGTCTGCTGTGACTCTATGATGTCTGCTGTGACTCTATGATATCTGCTGTGACTCTATGATGTCTGCTGTGACTCTATGATGTCTGCTGTGACTCCATGATATCTGCTGTGACTCTATGATATCTGCTGTGACTCTATGATGTCTGCTGTGACTCTATGATATCTGCTGTGACTCTATGATGTCTGCTGTGACACTATGATGTCTGCTGTGACTCTATGTCTGCTTTGACTCTATGATGTCTGCTGTGACTCTATGATGTCTGCTGTGACTCTATGATATCTGCTGTGACTCTATGATGTCTGATGTGACTCTATGATGTCTGCTGTGACTCTATGATATCTGCTGTGACTCTATGATATCTGCTGTGACTCTATGATGTCTGCTGTGACTCTATGATGTCTGCTGTGACTCTATGATGTCTGTTGTGACTCTATGATGTCTGCTGTGATTCTATGATATCTGCTGTGACTCTATGATGTCTGCTGTGACTCTATGATATCTGGTGTGACTCTATGATATCTGCTGTGACTCTATGATGTCTGCTGTGACTCTATGATATCTGCTGTGACTCTATGATGTCTGCTGTGACTCTGATATCTGCTGTGACTCTATGATGTCTGCTGTGACTCTATGATGTCTGCTGTGACTCTATGATGTCTGTTGTGACTCTATGATGTCTGCTGTGATTCTATGATATCTGCTGTGACTCTATGATGTCTGCTGTGACTCTATGATATATGGTGTGACTCTATGATATCTGCTGTGACTCTATGATGTCTGCTGTGACTCTATGATATCTGCTGTGACTCTATGATGTCTGCTGTGACTCTATGATATCTGCTGTGACTCTATGATGTCTGCTGTGACTCTATGATATCTGCTGTGACTCTATGATGTCTGCTGTGACTCTATGTCTGCTGTGACTCTATGATGTCTGCTGTGACTCTATGATATCTGGTGTGACTCTATGATGTCTGCTGTGACTCTATGATGTCTGCTGTGACTCCATGATATCTGCTGTGACTCTATGCTATCTGCTGTGACTCTATGATGTCTGCTGTGACTCCATGATATCTGCTGTGACTCTATGATATCTGCTGTGACTCTATGATGTCTGCTGTGACTCTATGATATCTGCTGTGACACTATGATGTCTGCTGTGACTCTATGTCTGCTTTGACTCTATGATGTCTGCTGTTTTTTTTTTATTTTTTTTTTATTTATTAAAGGGACAGTGCATATTAAAATACATTATGCATGTAAATAAGCCAGAATTAGCCAAAAGGCTATTTTTCATCTGTAGTCCCTGGACAGTTGTTAAGTGTCCTCCTGAAGGGAATAAAATTAAACATATCACAGACAGATAACATGACACAGTAAAATATATACAAGCAATACCCTCAATAACACAAATCAAACATATAGACATGAACACACTACTGTTACACACTCAATAAAAAATGAAGACAAGTCAGACTCACAGACAAAGAACAAGAGGCCAGCAGGGGGCAGCGGTGAGGAGTCAGTGCTGACAGCTTTGATTATGAATGAGCCATTTTTTTACCTGTATTTTGAATGTTTCATATGTATTGGTGTTCCTAATTGTTGTGGGGGTGAGATTCCATTCATGGGCGGCTTTGACAGAATATGTTGATTGACCAAAGAGGCTTTTTTTCAGAGGGATGATGCAGTCGCCCCTTGCTGCTGCTCTGGTTCTCCTGAGTTCTGCTGTATTGATGTGAATGAACTGTGTGAGTGGGGGTGATGACAAACCGTGAATTATTTTATAGGTGAGGCAGAGATGTGAGTATTTGACCATGTTTTCCCAACTGAGTAAATTATGCTTTTGTAATATTGGACAGTGATGATGTGAGAGTGGTTTGCGGTCCAGAGTTTTTATGGTGCGTTTGTAGAGGGACAGGATGGGTTTGAGAGTTGTGACATTGGCATGTGACCAGACAGTTAAACAGTATGTTAGATGTGAAATGATCATTGCGTGCATGTACATTTTTGCTGCTTGTATTGACATTTGGGGCCGGATGTGTCTGAAGTTACTGAGGGTGAACTTAATGCGATTACTGATCATTTTAACATGAGGTTTGAATGAGAGAGTTGAGTCCAGGATTATGCCAAGATATTTGTACTGGGATACGGTCTGCAGCCTTATACCTGAAACATGAACATCAGGCACATCTGTAATATGTTTTTTGGAGAAAAGCATTGATACAGTTTTTGAGGTGTTTAACTGTAGGCAGCAGTGCTCCAGCCATGCTGTGATGTGAACCATGGCCTGGGTGAGCTTTTCAGCCACTTGGGAAACACTGCTGCCATGAACATACAGCACAGTATCATCTGCATACATCTGCACAGAGACATTCGGGCAGGCGCACGGGAGGTCATTAATGTACAGGGAGAATAATAGAGGCCCCAGGATTGACCCTTGAGGCACACCAGTTGATACAGGGAGTGCAGGGGATTGGCAGTTTTGCACTGTGACATGCTGAGAACGATTATTCAAATATGACCGAATCCATGTGACTCTATGATGTCTGCTGTGACTCTATGATGTCTGCTGTGACTCTATGATGTCTGCTGTGACTCTATGATATCTGCTCTGACTCTATGATATCTGCTGTGACTCTATGATATCTGCTGTGACTCTATGATGTCTGCTGTGACTCTATGATGTCTGCTGTGACTCTATGATGTCTGCTGTGACTCTATGATGTCTGCTGTGACTCTATGATATCTGATGTGACTCTATGATATCCGCTGTGACTCTGTGATATCTGCTGTGACTCTATGGTGTCTGCTGTGACTCTATGATGTCTGATGTGACTCTATGGTGTCTGCTGTGACTCTATGGTATCTGCTGTGACTCTATGATATCCGCTGTGACTCTATGATATCCGCTGTGACTCTATGATGTCTGCTGTGACTCTGATATCCGCTGTGACTCTATGATGTCTGCTGTGACTCTGATATCTGCTGTGACTCTATGATGTCTGCTGTGACTCTATGATGTCTGCTGTGACTCTATGATATCTGCTGTGACTCTATGATGTCTGCTGTGACTCTATGATGTCTGCTGTGACTCTATGATGGTTGCTGTGACTCTATGATGTCTGCTGTGACTCTGTCTGCTTTGACTCTATGATGTCTGCTGTGACTCTATGATGTCTGCTCTGACTCTATGATGTCTGCTGTGACTCAATGATGTCTGCTGTGACTCAATGATGTCTGCTGTGATTCTATGATATCTGCGGTGACTCTATGATATCTGCTGTGACTCTATAATATCTGCTGTGACTCTATGATATCTGCTGTGACTCTATGATATCTGCTGTGACTCTATGATGTCTGTTGTGACTCTATGATGTCTGCTGTGACTCTATGATGTCTGCTGTGACTCTATGATGTCTGCTGTGACTCTATGATCTCTGCTGTGACTCTATGATGTCTGCTGATGTTTGCTTGAATAGTTTGTGATGAGATTATTTTACCAGTTTTAAGACAAAAAAACGTCATAATCTTAGAGAAAAAGTCTGAGCAGTGAATTTTTATTGCTCAATTTTTTTCTTATTTACAAACAATTGTTGTTGAAAAAAAAATGAAAAAGAAATGTTGTTGTTTTTTGGTTAAAATAAGTTTTTGATGTTGTATTTG